AGAGAGAGAGAGAGAGAGAGAGAGAGAGAGAGAGAGAGAGAGAGAGAGAGAGAGAGAGAGAGAGAGAGAGAGAGAGAGAGAGCGTTCTTGTGATGGCCCTTGTGTTCAGTTTAGCAGTGATGGCTGCCTGGCTAAGCATAGTAGGCTGTTAAATCCATTGCAAGATCACACAGCCTGATCTGCAGATGGAGAGGGAACTGGGTGCTTGCAGTACCACTGTGCCCCAAGAATATATCCATACCGAGGTTGGAGATGGCGATCCTTGACGAGGCATCGAAATTGAATCTCAGTCCTCGAGAGGGCAGCGATAGGAATGGTGCTTGCAGGGATGCCATTGGCTTCGGTTGGCCAGGGTGCCATGATGGAACTTGCATAGATGTCTACAAGAATCTCTAAGCCTTCACATCTTTCTAGACTGCATGGAAATGTCCACGATCGTGTATTGCAACTTTCTTAACTGCTTAGCAACTGGAAAAAGTGTTCCACTTTGGGATTTTGGCACGGTATACACACACAAGGTGTGGAATCAGAAGAGAGGGCACCTCAAGCATAGCAAGTGCAAGTCCTTGTTTCAGTTTGTTTTTGCTTGGGCAAATGTGATTTGGCTGAGTATCTGCCCTGTGGCTGGACTGTTGATCGTAGGTTCACAGCTCAAACGCTGATCAATCTATCTGATTCGATCATGTCAAGCCTTGAAATCAAAACAGAGGCATCTGCAGCACAGCAAGCTAATGTTATTTGTCTCAATTTCTCTGCGCGAGAAGGTAATTTACTAATTTGGCTGTGCACCGACCATCTTGGCTGAAGTGCTAATCTCACAGATCGGAGTTCGAACCCTGTCCAAACCATAATGTCAGACTCTACGCACTCCGAAAAGCAGAACATGAGAAACAGTACAGCCTGTGTTTTATTACTTTTTTTCAAGTTTGGTTGTTTGTGTGTTTCTCTCCAGGAGATGGGTATCGGTGCTTGTGATTTGTGGAAGAGGGGTTTGTCTTCTTGTATCTTGTGTTCAGACTTTTCTGCTTTTCTGTATTGATGCTGGGTTTGGGTGGGAGCACATTGGAGAGGGAAGGTTGGGGGTTCAGGAGGGCAATGTGGTGGAGCTTGCTGTCTTTTGTCTCTGTGGCCCGTTTGAGTGTTCTGTTCTCCCATTTTCTACATACCGTGATCGAGTTCTTCCATTCTTATGGGTGCCTTGTATTCCTTGATCTTGTGCTTCTCTGTGCAGAATCCTTCCTGGGGTCTGTAAGTTTTCATTCATTAGGTATATTTCAGCTTCCATTCTAGAGGCTTTACTCTTTATATTAATATATATCTATATATAGTCAAACAGAGCTGCCCGGTAAACCGTAGGCAGAGAGGGAGAAGAGGACAACAAATGAGGGGCTGTGACAAACTGTTTCGTCGGAGTTTCACCAACTCATCAGGAGGTTATATATAATATTATATATATTTTTTACTCTTTATACTAATATATATACCGGGCAGTTCTGTTTGACGATATATATATATATATCTATTTGACAATATATATATATATTTGACGATATATATATATTTATATATGAGTCGGTGAAACTCCGACGAAACAGTTTGTCACAGCCCCTCGTTTGTTGTCCTCTTCTCTCTCTCTGCCAACGGTTTTACCGGGCAGTTCTGTTTGTGACGATATATACTACGACTTCGCTAGCTTCCTGCTACGGTTTTTCCGGTCAGGTCGAGCGGCAGTGGTCGGGGCCGTTACTAGGCGGCCATGCTGTGCCTCTAGTGCCAGCGGCGT